GGACACCGCTGGAGTGGAGCTGGGCCAGGGCCTCCCCAGGGCTGCGGGGAGCGGGGCATTCCGGAGGAGTCCTGCTCGCCTAGTTGCAGACAAAAGTGCTTGCACACTCGACCCTGGCAGCCATTTTAATAAGTGTGGGTTACAAAGCCTCCGGAGCCCTCCGCCACTTTGGCCAGGGTGGAGAGAGGAGAACAGCTGCCCCGATGTGCGGCCGGCCGCTTGGCGTTTCTGGAAGGCCTGGCCAGCCAGCAAGTCTGTGCTGCCTGCCCGGAGTCTGGGTCTGCGCTCCTGGGCCAGGTCCGGGAAGCTCTGGACCAGAGTATGAAAGGCAGCAGCCTCCCCTACGGGAGCTGGGAGCACTCCGTTGGGCTCTGGGGTGGGGGGCTCCAGCGCCAAGGGATGCCCTGCAGAAGCCACAGGGCTCTGGGGTCGCCCTGGCGCCCCGAACTCCAGCTCCCAGGGTCTGTGCATGGCGAGCAAAGCAGAATTTGGGGAGGGACACCACCAGATTCTGTTAGCCTCCTGACAGCCAGGGACAGCCCCCCACCCCAAAGAAAAGACAATGGGCAGGCCCACAGGCCCTGGCCCTCCCTGCAGCTCTCACTCCACAACAGTCCAGGCCCCCACAAGCAGGAGACCCTCAATCTCCTCCCCATCTCTCGGCCGTCACCCATGGCGCTCTGGGTGACAGGTGGCATTCTGTAGAGGTCATTAACTCCAGAGCACCACATTTTAATGCAGAAAGGAGCCCTTCTCAATCGGCGCAGCTGCGAAGCTATATAAAGAAATGGGGATTTTAATGTTTTGCTTTTCTTCCCTTTTCTAGTGCCACATTATCATAACATTTCCCTATAATTACGCCCATAAAAGTCACCTGAAAATACTTCATGCCACAAAAGTTGATCTACACACGTCATTCCGTGGATGTTGAGTGGCGAGTCCCGAGCAGGATCTCCCAGGGTGGGATTCAGCCAGGAGCCCGGTGCCGAGCAGACCCGGCAAGCCCACAGCGGGACACAGCCCCCTTTCTGGGATCCGCAGTCCTCTGTCCTCACTGGCAAGAGAGATGTTGGAGACAGTCCTGGAAGGCTGTGGGCTGCCCTCTTCCCAACACTGTTCCCCAGGACCCTTTCCCCGGGGGTCTGTGCTCAGGAGGATGCTTCCATGGACAAAACCCTTTACCTCGCTGATGCTTGGGCATCCGGCTCAGCTAATACAAATCCCACAAAGAGAGGGTGACTTATCTTTATGAAGCTGAAAGAAACCAACACCACATCCTCTCCAGCCAGAAATTCATCAAATAAAAACACACAGGAGAAAAGGGAAAAAAAAAAAAAAAAAAAGAGCCGAGATGAGAGAGAAACCTCTGAATGGCATCACTTCATTAAGCCCAGTATTTTCAAATTTACCTCTCCAAGAACTCCAGAAATAAAATTTGAATAGCGGGAAAGTACCATATTCTAATCTCTCCTAACTATGCAATAAATTATATTTATAAAGAAAATGCAACAGCAGAGAGCCCAGGCTCGGTTAGTATTCTAATGGATTAAACACAATTCGGAAGTTGTTGGTAACTTCCCATCATTGCAGCCGAGGATGTGAGATTGAACTCAGAGCCACAAGTCAGTTTTGATGGGTTCAATTGGGAAAAAAATTCCGTCAGAAAGATTTACATGCCGGGCATGTCTGTCTGCCAAGCTGTTCCCCGTGGGGCAGCACAGAGCTGTCCACCTTCGGACTAAATATTGCACACAAGTGTCCAAGTCAAGGCTCAGCGTCCCACAGCATCCCACTAGCTCATCATGGTCCCCATCCCTCTTGCTTGTGGGGGACCCCTGGTGCCGTAAGCCAGCGAGGAGAAACAACCACATCCTCAGGGACAGACACCCCAACACAGTCACACCCCTCTGGTGGTCCCAGAGCAGTCCCAACTCCTTCTGAGAACCACATCCATCCAAGCCAAGCCCTCTGCTCTAGATATGCCGAGGGGCCGATGGCAGACACCAGGTCCTTCTAAGACACAGAGTTCCCCAGGCAAGACGAAGGGGTTCCAACCTTCTCCAAGCTCATCATCCCCAAACCAACGAGGCGCCAGCCCCGCCGTCAACAGGACGTCCACAGACTACCGAGTGTGCGTTTGGAGAAAGCCATTGAGGGCCCCCTTCTCTCTCCGCTTTTCCTGGCAATTCTTCCCCAATGGGAGAAAAATGACAAGACTGTCACTATAGCAACTAACCTAATTGGTGGACTGCAGGTCCCTCTCCAGCCAGAGGGTGGAGCCCATCTCCTTAGCTATGAGTCTCAGCTGACTGGGCCCTGGAACAAAACATCCCCTAACCGAAAACCAGGCCAAGAAATAATCCAGTTTTCCTTACGCCGCGCTAGAAAGTGAACACCTTATGTGCTGCAGAGAAATGCTCAGATTTAATAGGGAGGATAATTGAATCCTGTATGATACTTATCAGTTTCCCTAATTAATATGATACAAATATATCTGCTTCATAACACAAAAACATTTTGGGTAATAAAAATCCTGACTGATAACAAAAACAATTTACAAACAAGGATTCTAACTATTCTTATTCATCCCAGATATATTGGAAAAGAGAACGGAAATCATAAGAACGGTTTCATTTGCATTTTATTTGCTTTATCAATTCTAAAAAAAAAGTTTTTTTTTTTCCTGCAGGACTGCTGTTCCATGCTATAAATTATTATTATGTCCATTTTGTATTTTTGTAAAATGTTTTAATTTTTCCAAGTGCATTTCCGGTGAAATGGGGTGTGTCTGAAAACGTCTTATCTTATTGTCAATTACTCCATTACATGGAAATGGCAACCACCATGAAAATGTGGTTAACCCAAGCTTTCATTATTAACGATTTCTGCTCTTCTGAATCAGACATTTTAGCGAATGCCCTTGTCCCGGTGGAAGATTTGTTTGTAGAACACCAGGGAGGCTGCTAAGGGTGGGCTGAGTGCGCGGGCGGGGATCTCGGGTTTCATGGTGTTTCTGGGCAGCCGCGACCCCGACCTGGGGCAGGCAGCAGCCCTGGGAGGGTGTGAGTGTGGGAGTGAGGTGCAGGTGCAGGTGGTGGGGAGTGTGCACTGACAAGGCGGGAACCAGGGAGGCTCCGGCTAGCCGTGGGGGTGCGGAGTGTTGAAACCACCGCCAGTGTGTCCTATACTTAACCATTAGCGGTTGCTCTTTTCTTCACCTGAAGGGCTGCTTCCCCGCCCAGCTGCTGTCCTGGGTTCGCACCTGGGACCCAAGGACCTGTCGCCAGCGCTGGCCAAGGACAGCATCCCCAGGGGACGCTCAGGGAGCTAGTCCCCTTCCCAACACTGCTGAATGAGCCCTCTCTCCCCCCATGCCACCAGGAAGAGCATTCATACGGCACCCAAGGCAGTACCGGGACTTTATCTATCACCAGCCCTTTGCACATCACCAAGGAACCCTGTGAACGCAGCCGGAGGGCCGAGATGGCCGCGCCGAGCCCCAGCCCCCAGTCCCCCCAGACCGCCCCGCGAGTGCTGGCGGTGCCTGGCTGGGCAGTCCGGGTCACGACCCCGCTGGGGGCCTTCCCGACACGCGTCCCCTCCCCACGCAGGGCGCCAGCCGTCGCCTGCAATTGTGGGCAATGCACAACGGGGCTGAAAGAAGTAGGGCCATGCCTGCTCCCGCACGGCTCTCCCTGGCGGTTCCGGCGGGCTGGGCTGTCCCAGGACTCGGCGACCGCGCCGCCGCCTGGGTCCCCGTGGTCCGCTGTGGTCTCGTTCTGGAGGCCCCGGAGGGTTCGGACTGCGAGCGGGGAGGCCGGGACTTCGAGGTGGTGGCGCGGGAGCCAGGCGCGGCGCTGGCCTCTTTTTTTTTTTTTTTTTTTTTTTTTAAGAATCCATATTTTTCCATCACCTCCCGCGCCCATGGCAGTTCTCCATGACAGGTGTTCCTCAGCGCCCGTCCTCTCCTCCCGCTAGGATGGGAAGGGACCAGGAGCCTGTGCCAAGCGGCCGGCCGGGGAACCGAGCAGCCCGCGCCATCCCAGCCCCCGAGCCCGCGCCCAGGACTCTGGCCACTCCCCGCCACCCTGTCGGACTGCGAGCGTGCGCCCCGAGCGCTGACCACCACCCCCCCCGCCCCGCCCCCGCAGCCCAAGGCTGCGCCCGGGACTCCGACCACCCCTCCTTCACCCAGCCCACAACCCCCCACTCACCCCGGCCGCCCCCGAGCCTGTCTCTGTCCCCGGTCCCCCGCACCCACCCCAGCCCCGAACCCGCGGCCCCGCTCCAGATCAGCGGGGTCAGCGGCTCAGGTCCCCGGACACGACTCCAGAAATCACCGCGGCGGCGGCGGCGGCGGCGGCCCCTCTCCACATACCCCACCCCTCACTTCTCTTTTTTAAGAAAGCGCCGGGCGAGTCGGCTTCCCCGGCAGGCAGAGGCTCCAGCCACGCGTCCTAGCCCGAGCCCCGCTCCCGCTGGAGCTACCCCGCTCCTGGCTCGGCCGCCGCGTCGCCCCTCGTCCCCGGCGGGAGTGTCGCCCGCGGAAAGCGCGGGGCAGGGCGCTCCGCCGACATCCCCAGCGGTGCGGCCCGCCGGCCCCGGACCTGCCGCCGCCTCCGGAGCGCGCGGCTCGGCTCGGCCCGCCGGCCAGGGCCGGGAGAGGCGGCAGCACACCGGGCAGCCCCGGGCATCGCCGCGCCACCCGGGGCCTGGCGCCGGGGCCCTGCCCCGGAGTCGGGGCGAGAGGCTCGGCGGCGGCGCCCGCTTCCGAAGTGCCCGAGCGCCGGGAGCCCCGGCGGCCCCTCTCCCTCCTGGCCCAGGCGTTGGCGGCGGGACCCGGGGACGGCGCACCGCGAACTGGCAACTCCGCACCGACTCCTGGCGGCCGCCGGGGCCGGGGCCCGGGCCAGAGCTGGGGACCGGGGCCGGGGTTGGGGGGAGGGCCGGGGAGCCGGGGCTGGAGGGCCGTGCGGGGGCCCGGGCCGCGCAATACTCACTGCAGTAGGCGATGAGCAGGCTGGCCAGGATCATGAACGCCCAAAAAGTTGAGGACATGCTGGGCAGGGCGGTCGCATCTTGCCGGCTGCTGGTCCTGGGCGATGGCGCCATTGAAGCCGCGGCGCCCGCGCGGGGGGCAGCAGCGCGTCTCAGCAGCCGGCCCTGCCCGCGCCCCCGCGCCGGCCTCCACGTGCGGGCCCCGCGCGCGCCATCCTCCTCCGCCGCCGCCGCCGCCGCCGCCGC